AGATAGATAGATAGATAGATAGATAGATAGATAGATAGATAGATAGATAGATAGATAGATAGATAGATAGATAGATAGATAGACAGGTAGATAGGTAGATAAATGAATACAGGTAGCTGAGGTAGAGCAGCTAGTCACCAGGCAACGGTCAACCTGCAAACTACAGCGCGGTAAGAATCACACACAAGTCACGTGTTTTAAAATATTAATGAGTTTTGAAAGCTGTTTCACACAAACTACATTGTTCAAGGCATTTATATATTACATTTAAACATTTATATATCAGTGACATTACATTTATATATTCTTACAATACCTTCATATATTCGTTATATTTAAATTAATTTTTCCTTTAATTCGAATATATAAAAATATAAATCTCGATTCAACAAAACTGAATTCTAGATTGTTCTAAGATTGTTAAGTACAGCCTTTTTTAATCCATGTTCTGTTGATGCAATTTTGATTCACAACGGTACCATCTAAAACTCTATCTGAGTAACAATGAAGAAGATTAATTCTGTCAATTTACTCTCTGTTCATTTCTGCATAAATCAGAAACCTCAATTGGTATATATCAACTTTCAGAGATTAAAAGGATATCTCCATCATTTTTCTTAGACAAAAGTTAAAAGTATACCATTGTGAGTTGTAATTTTTTTAAAAGGGTCAATTCACAATTTATGAAAATATTGTAGCTGGTTCTAAAAATTACAGTTATTATAAATCATACATTTGATTAAACTATTTCCGGTTCAATTGAACATCTCAAACTTAAAATCTTAAATCGATAACTTGATCTTTATATTCAATTTCAGGGGGAAACCGGTATGTGGTGGCCGGCTCAGTTATCAGGTTAAATAAGAAAAATTTAAATATTTTGTTGTTTTATTTATTGAATTTGTTTTCAAATCTATATTCATTATTTAAACTAAAACTTAATAATCTTCTTAAATACTTTATTTGAAGAAACTTTTTGCATATAAAATAATTTGGATAATATATAAAAAAAGACATTTGTATATAAAACAGACAAACGTAAGAAAAATAATTATATATATAGATATATATAAATAACTATAACCTTTTATAAAATGTGTAAATAAAATAATGAACTGGTTTAAATTGAAAAATTAATTTAATATATGCTTGATCAATCAGGGTATTATGTTTTTTTATTGTGATCGATTTTTTCAAAGTAATAAAACTTTGATTGGTTGATAAATTGATTGATCCATGTGATTTGTTAATTAAACTGTCATAAATTGATTAAACTAGGTGATTATTAGGTTAAACCAGGAGCAGTTAATTGATTAAATCATCTGATTAATTGATTAAGGCATGTTATTAATTGAGTAAGCATGTGATGAATTGATTAAACCATGTGTTAATTGATTAAAACATGTGATTAATTGATTAAAATGGTGATTAATTGATTAAATTTGGTGGTTAATTGGTCAAAACTGGTAAGTAATTGATTGATTAAACCTGCTGATTAATTAATTAAGCCTGGTGATTATTTGATTTGATCATGTGATTAATGGATTAAATCATGCGGTTGATGAATTAAAGAATGTGATTAGTTGGTTAACCCATGTGATTAGTTGGTTAACCCATGTGATTAATTGATTTAATCTTGTGATTAACTGATTTAATCATGTGATTAATGGATTAAAGAATGTGATTATTTTATTAAATCATGTGAATAATGTATTAATTCATGTTATTAATTGATTTAATCATGTAATTATTGGGTTCAGATGACTAACTGATGTTTTCAGGGGTTGGTTTACCTTCTCTTCTTTTTCTAATTCACTGCTCAGCTCTTCTTTCATCTTCGGATGGATCAGGTATTAAAATCTATTTCATTCCAGTTCATTTCATCTCAGTTCATACTAATTTATTTCATTTCATCCTTGATCATTTCAGTTTATTTCAGTTTATTCCAGTTCATTTCACTTTATTCCAGTTCAATCCGGTTCAATCCGGTTCATTCCAGTTCATTCCAGTTCATTCCAGTTCATTCAGGTTTATTCAAGTTCAGTCCAGTTCATTCCAAATCATTCCAATTCATTCCAGTTAATTCCAGTTCATTCCAATTCAATCCGGTGCATTCTGCAGTTAGTTCTAGTTCATTTCAGTTCCTTCCAATTTATTCCAGTTCATTCCAGTTCATTCCAGTTTATCTAAGTTCATTGCATTTGCAGTTTATTCAAGTTCAGTCCAATATAATCAAGTTCAATGTTTAGCTTAGTGCATAGTCCTATTAGATCCAGATCGGTCCAGTTTAGTCCAGATTATTTAAGTCCAATTTATCTAACTCAGTCCAGTGTAATCCTCATCAGCCAAGTAAAGTAAACAGGGTCAGAAAAAAAACAATTTTGTATTTTCTCTTGATGTTGATTAACGTTAATGTTTTATTATTGTATGAATTCGGAACAGCCCTTACATTTAAGTAAAGGTTAACAAAGTGTGAAATACAAGGAACTGTATGAAACATATTCCGAATGAAGTGTTCGTTAATTCTCACACGAAATTTGACCATTGACTTTAATTTCAACTACAGTGTAGGAAATACTTAATCTCTTAAATGCAAAAATTTGGCAGATGTCAGTTGAGCAGATTATTCAGTTTAAATGCATTAGCAACGTGCATATTTCAGATTTTGAAAATACACCTTTCCACCATTTTGTAATGGTGACCTTGAACCCAGGGTAAAGATAAAGTGGGATTAACAATTATTTTTCTTGTAAAATATAACTTTTTCAGTTTTCAGTGAGGAGAAAACCTCCTGAAAATACAGAAAATCATGTTTATCAGGGTTATAGCTACAGTAAGTTGTAATTTTAATAATAAATGTTATATTAGCCGATGTAGTATAAGACGATTTATGAAATATGACGGGCAACGCCAAACTCTTCTTCTAGTAATATTTGTGTAGTCTATAGAGTATACAACGCATCCTTGTACAATATGTTACAAATGTTTCCCATGAGGGTCTTCTTAAATAAATAAATAATATTGTCTGAGCTTCGTAACCCTCAGACATGCACACAAAGCATCAAGTCTCAATAAGACCGGAAAGAAGGATGACAGCGGAGTTTAAACTGTTTTGAACTGACTTAATTGCACTTCTATATTGTACAGGCGAAGGTACATAGGGTCAAATCAATTATAAACACAGGAGTTAAAGAAACTGTCGACAACATCTAAATTTACTCGTTTGAAATGCACATTAAAGGTTTTTAACGGTACTGCCTGAACTTACTGGAAAAATTAGTGGATTTCTACAGAAATAAGGTTGTGTACTGTCCAGACTCCAGACTGTGTACTAAGGTTGTGTACTGTCCAGACTGTGTACTAAGGTTGTGAACTTGTACTATCCAGACTGTGTACTGGTTGGAAAGGGTGCATGCCGCGGTGATGGCTGGACGGATGGAAAATGGCCGGAAAATGGCGGGAAACAGTCTCTAGAGGGATGCTGTGACTTGTGTGCGGAATCAGAGGTAAAAACCTAATGAACCATGATTACTTCCCTCGTACTCTAAGCTTCTAATCTATTTATCTCAGCAAATTTTCCTATTTGATCTACAGTGATAAACAAACAACTCTGGAATAGGAAGACGGCTTTTAGAATCAAGTTATAACTTTAAAAAGTCCATCGGCATGATACGCAGCAATTGTGCAGTGTAAACTGACCCATTTTAATAGATTAGTGGTTTAAAAGTATTTAGTAAAACTATTTGCGTTGTAACAACATCAACGATACTTAAGTAATGCTATAATGTCGTCTTCCTTTTCCATTGTTTTCTGGCTATCAGTGCAGCAGAATTCTTTAGAGGTCTACATCAGGTTTAAAATATGTAAGGATTAACAAATTAGAGATTAATTTGAGGCGAATTTAATAAGTTGTTTGGCTAGACAAAAATAAAAGAATACTGGTATATTGCGGAATTTTTAAATTATGATTTAGAAAGTTTTTGCAGATTTGCCATAAATTTTTTTTTATGATTAAATAGAGAGTAAAAAAAGCTTAAGCTTGTGCATCTGCAAATACACAACTGCATATAAAAATATGTCTAAAACATTTAATAAGTTTTCAACTCATCAATATATTTATATAAACCAAAAAGCAAAAAAAACGCAAATTGTTATTATTCAAATGTGGAACTAACATCTACTTTTTTACTCTACAGAGGTTTGGTCCATCACCATCACCGAATTTTGAATTTTTGATATTAAACTACAAAACCGTCAAAAAGTTTCAAACAATGTTAAAGAGTTAAACATAACATTATAATCCTGTAGAGAGAGCAGATAGTCAGGATTATTACAATTGACAGTACAGTACATGACACCGTCTTGTTCAGGGGTGTACAGGGTTGAGTGTATCTAAGACTGGAGATTGTTTACTGTTCGGGCATAAAAAACTGGTTCCAGCATCAGGACTGGGAGGAGAATGTTATACCGTGAGCAGTACCAAAACAAAAGGTGAACATCCCTGGTTTTTTTTAAAAATTCCGGAATTCAGAAACTTGAATCCTAAATTCTTGAATACTAGAATTTGAATCTGGTGTCTCCAATCCTGATTTATAGTAAAAGAAGCAAGAACCTTGAATTATTAATCCCAAACCAAAAAAGAAAAATTAAGAATCTAAAATCCTTAATCCTGTTTTCTAAACCAGGTCTAAATCCTAAATCATGTATCCTAAACCAGGTCTAAATCCCAAACCAAAAAGGAAAAATTAAGAATCTAAAATCCTTAATCCTGTTTTCTAAACCAGGTCTAAATCCTAAATCATGTATCCTAAACCAGGTCTAAATCCTAAATCAAGAATTAAGAATCTAAAATCCTAAATTATGTGTCCGAAGCCAGGTCTAAATCCTAAATCAAGATTTAAAAATCTAAAATCCTAAATCGTGTATCCTAAACCAGGTCTAAATCCTAAATCAAGATTTAAAAATCTAAAATCCTAAATCATGTATCCTAAACCAGGTCTAAATCCTAAATCAAGATTTAAAAATCTAAAATCCTAAATCATGGATCCTAAACCAGGTCTAAATCCTAAATCAAGAATTAAGAATCTAAAATCCTAAATCATGTATCTTAAATCTGGTTTAGATCCTTAATCAAGAATTAAGAATCTAAAATCCTAAATCATGTATCTTAAACCTGGTTTAGATCCTTAATCAAGAATTAAGAATTTAAAATCCTAAATTATGTATCCTAAATCAGGTCTAAATCCTAAATCAAGAATTTAGAATCTAAAATCCTAAATCACGTATCTTAAACCTGGTTTAGATCCTAAATCAAGAATTAAGAATTTAAAATCTTAAATTATGTATCCTAAACCAGGTCTAAATCCTAAATCAAGATTTAAAAATCTAAAATCCTAAATCATGTATCTTAAACCTGGTTTAAATCCTTAATCAAGAATTAAGAATTTAAAATCCTAAATTATGTATCCTAAACCAGGTCTAAATCCTAAATCAAGAATTAAGAATCTAAAATCCTAAATCACGTATCTTAAACCTGGTTTAGATCCTAAATCAAGAATTAAGAATTTAAAATCTTAAATCATGTATCCTAAACCAGGTCTAAATCCTAAATCAAGATTTAAAAATCTAAAATCCTAAATTATGTGTCCTAAACCTGGTTTAGATCCTAAATCAAGAATTATAAATCTAAAATCTTGAATCCTAAATCCTATATTCTGTATTCTGAACATATCAAATGATTAAAAAGTCAAGATTCTGAATTTCTGTATAATGAATCCTAAATCCTGTTTTGAATCCTTGGACCAAATCTAATGAATAGAGAGAACTAAGTTAAATTACGAAACCTGAGTTGAACCAAACTTCTCCTATGCATGAAACATTGAATCTGGTCCTTAATTCCACAAAATAAAATCCGAAAGATATAATTCGGATCCCAAACCTCTAGATCCTGAATTTTCCTGCTTCTCTGAATCTTGTGAATCCTGTGAATCCTATGTAAAATGTTGAATCCTGATCCCAGAAATGCACTTTCTCAGTTTATTTTTTATCCTTTTTGTTTTATTCTCCATCCTTTTTCATTTGTTTTGAAATTTGACTCTTTATTTTTACTTTTGTTTTTATCCTCTTCTACAATAACAATCTTACAGCTTAAAGCAGTTGGGAGTAATTTAATAATGAAAAAATCTGCGCTTGTTTTCATTGTATCTTAAAATACTATTTATGCAAACTTTCATTGTTCGTGAGTATTATTATAGGGAGTCTGAATCATCATGTCCGATTCAGAATGGTACCCTTGAACCCTTTATTTGTCATCCACATTGTAAATCTGATGAAGGGCTATAGGATACCGAATTGTTTTTCGAATTTGTAACGCTTTTAAATTTTAAATCATGTTGGTCACTTTCAACAACGTGAACAGTCCTTTAAAGACTAAGATAAGAAGAACAAACTAGGACTGATACTGTATATCACAGGTTTGAATTCCTGAAATTAATGTTAACATGCTGGGAATAAGGAGACTATGAGAAAGGAATGTAAGAATAATGAGCCCCGAATATCCCTGTTTAAACAGGGTGTTAATTGTGTTAATTTACTCCCGGTAAATATACACACAAGATCCAGACAGCAATGAAAAAATAAATGGAATTTCAAGACTCTTTCGTAAAACCTTGGGCTTTGATTTGATCTGTCTATTTTACCTATAATTTCTTTTGGCCTTAGACATATTACATGTAAGATGTTAACTTTAGATTTTAGGACGTAATTGGCAAAATTCTTATCGTTATTCTCAAAATTCTCAATCTTTGCTTGAGAGCCTTGGAAACTCAGAACACTATGTACAGCTTTCCCAGTATTCACGCTTTTACAAATTTACCCCATTCACTCTTTAGCATTTCACTCTTTTCAACTTAAATTCAAAATATTTAGATTTTAAATAAAATAATTTGAAAGAAAGACCTGCATTAAAGACGTCTTAACACGCTTTTATAGCCTTCAGTTTTCATTTTGGTTTTCATGACTATAAAAAATTTTATTTAAATGCCTAAACACAAACATTTTTCGACCTGGCTAATTTTAATTTAAAAAAATTAGTCTGAGCTGAAAACTTTATAATGAGATATCCTTAATCCCAACTACTTAATCCGAATATCCATTGTGGAAACTTTTGATTTTAGTCCTTAATCCACTCTTTGGATATCCGTACATTGTTTTCTCCTTGAGAGTGCAGGAATAGTTCGTAAATTGTATTTAACAATGACAGCCTTAAAAATAAATTATAATTAATGTAATAATAAATAAATGGGTGAGAAATTAAATGAAGACCCTTCCAGTCAAGAAAACGAACCAATCCGGTGTTCCTAGAATCAAAATTGTTGATCTAAATAATTAACCTCGAGATTATGTTAGTCTCGAGATTAGCAAAAACAGAAGATTAAGCATTAATCCTGATATCCACCATTCTAAAGTTCCCAGCTCTGTGCTGTTTTCTGACTTAAAACACATACTTCGTTCTTCTACTATTTCTATTTATATGCACTGCACTTTTATTTCTAAATTTTCTTTTTTACATTTTCCTTTTCATTTTGTAACTCATCATAGTTTTGAATGGGATACGTATCTTAAAAGATAAATTCATTTTCATTAATTTCAAAAAGTATTTTTGTCAAAGTGGGTGCAAATTGAAACATTTATCGATTTTATTTAACCTTGTAAGAATTCTATTTTGCATTTTTACTCAAAATTTCATGATCTTGAATATTAAAAGTTTTTTATTTGTTGCCAGGCGAATGAGGCACATCAGGGTTGATTTTATATTTCGCGGATTTTCATAAAACTGCACATTTTCATCATTCGCGATTTTTTTTGTAGCAGTGATTTTTTGTTTTGGTTTTTAACCCTTAATCAAACAAAAAAGATAAACCAAGACCAAGAAAACATACTGCCCCACAGGATAACACAAGGCATTTGCAAAAATAGTTATTGACAGCTTTTTATCAACATTTATGCATTTTCCTTAAATCCCATCATGTCATAAATAAATATACCCAATCTTTTTTGTTTAAAGGGACTGTTCATTTATTTGGGTAATTTCAGGGTAAACTAGACAGCCTATTCGCTCTTGATTGGTAATACTTTGACTTTTCAAAGACAACTGTGGCCGTCAATTAGTTCCTATAAAGAGGAACCGTCCCTTTGCGCTCGAATTCTGAACGAAAAATCGGCTTTTTCTCCGGCTGTCTAGTTTACCCTGAAATTACCCAAATAAATGAACGGTCCCTTTAATGCATCAAAAAATCTGATTTATAGTTGAATATATTCAAAATTTTACCTGAAGTTTAAATTTAGATATTATCCACGAGAAATCCTTGCTGACCCTCGCAAAATAGAAACTGGGAAATTTTTCGGTTTGACGGGATTTAGTTTAAATTGATTTGACACAACTATTTAATTGCTCTGAGAAGAAAAATACAAAACCGGGTTTCGGAATCAAAAATTTATTTTGATGAGGTATATTAAATTTCAAGATTATAAATCTAGACAAAAAGTTTAACATGAAACGTATCAATTTAATTATTAAATACAGATTTTGTAGATTTTCGAAGATAGAAAAACTTAGAAATAAATTTCTCAACTCTTCATTCTTGGTGGTTTAGATAAAATAGAAAATAAATCAAAGTTTTAAAAAATATCAAAACTTGAAAAAAAAAGTTTTCTTATTCTGTTTTATTGGTAGGTTTATTGGTAGGTTTATTGGTAGGTTATTGGTAGGTTTATTGGTAGGTTTATTGGTAGGTTTATTGGTTGGTTCATTGGTAGGTTTATTGGTAGGTTTATTGGTAGGTTTATTGGTAGGTTTATTGGTAGGTTTATTGGTAGGTTTATTGGTAGGTTTATTGGTAGGTTTATTGGTAGGTTTATTGGTAGGCTTATTGGTAGGTTTATTGGTAGGTACATTTTCTTGTATTTACTTTTAATATTAAAATTGAGGAAACAAATTATAAGAATGTAACTGTAAATTATAAGAATGTAACTGTAAATTATAAGAATGTAACTGTAACTGTAAATTCAAGTGAATCTCGCTTGCATAGAAGGCAATGTCGCGTTACAACGGTTCCTTTAAACCCTTTATCTGAACAAAAATGTGAAAGATAAGGTTGGTTTTCTGACTTGTTTAACTTTGATAATTTCTCATGTTTCGTCAGGGGAACCCTGATGAATCATAATCATAAACATTTGTTTTCCTACCTAGAAATCATCGTCGATACGGGTCTTGTAATCCCCGGTTACTGACTGAAGAAAGAACAATCTTGAAATCCAATCCGTTCACGAAAATGAATCCATTGTCCTCTTAAAGTAAGTTTCACGGTCTCAGATTCAAAACTTAATCCGTCTCCGACGATTTATAGGAAAGAAAAAAACAGTAATCCGTCTTCCGACCAAATCAACTATTCCTTGAGTCTGAAAATACCAAGTACTCAAAACTAGAAGACCTTCAGTTTCAACATAAAAAGATAAAAACTATGACTGAATATTTCTCATAACCTTCGTATAAAAAACTGAGAGAATGAACTAGAACCCGGAGCGTGTCTAGAAT